ACTATTGTACTATTAAGAGCAGCCATCTAGTAGAGTATTGATGACGACCGCAAACTCTTCTAGACAGTCCAGTGGAACACTAGCTAACTCGCAATCTTTAGGTGTTAATGAATCATACTATCCGGGAGTATGGATTGTGTGTTCATTCGAGTACTATATCCCCCTTATGGTTGCCTTATTTCCATATATTGCTACGGAATCCTCGAAGTGATATTGTCTCCTCGTTACTTCCAGCAATCCTTTAGGATAAATCCCTTGAGATCATCAATTTAGGATTAAAGAGTGAGAATAGCGGGAATGTGTAATCGGGTTATTTGTTTGGTGTAAAAGATGTATATTTAAGAGATTTAATTATTATTATGGGTTGAAAACTCTATGTGTTCACCAGACTCCCAAGTCTGACTCACTCAGTTTCTTTGTATCACAGGTAGTGATATGAAGGTTCAATAGATATTAATGTTTGAATCTACCAAGAGATTTAAGAAATTTTAGGTCAGTAAATAAATTGATGTAAGGCCTGTAAAGACTAGTTTATGATTATGTTTTTGTATCAGTTATGACATCTCAAGCTTTTAAATATTAATGAAAAACGTTTCTTCCGAAATGCTTTGATATTGAAATCATTCTACATTAATAACATTTTGAGACAAATTTTGCACTAATAAAAAGGATTGTTCTGGGTTTTGGCAATGTTGGGTTTTTGTGGATTTAAAGATTTACAGTAGGTGGGGGTAAGAGTGAGGGTATCATAGTTTCATGGACGGTAGTAGGTAGTCGGTGGCTAGCCGATGAGTGTATGTATAGCTCATACCTGAAAGTTCAAAGGAGTGGGTGGGTTTGGGTAGAGTGGGTTATATGTAGTGGACCCATTTCCTTTTTATAATTATAAATATTGTTAGAGTAATTGAAAAATAAATACACAATGTATTATGGTCATTTCAGATCTGGCACTGGCTAAAACCGCAACAAAATCGTCTTTTAGGGATGAAACGTACAAGTTTAAACCATAAGAGGGAGAGTCCGAATTAATTTTTGAAAATAGTGATTAACATTCCTTTTGCACTTGTACGAGTGATCATTTGTAAATATACTCAAAAAAAATATACGAGGGACCTCTTATAACAAACTCCAAAGAGTTTGTTGGTTATAGTGACATTATCCCTATCCCTTTGGGTTATTATTGATTTTATTCTCTAGCAATGTAAACAATTTTAGATAGACAGTTAAACAATTTTACTATACTATTGGTACAACAAAAACTATAATTAATTTTAGTTTACTTTGGGTGTAATAAGATTTTGTAATTTTATGAAATTCGCAAGCAACATCATCGATGGAAATGTCTTGCTTTTATCATGAACTGATAAAAAGGCTACCGCAATTTCATATAATTTTCCGGAATTTGATATTTTATATTAATTACATACATGGAATCTTGAACTAACTAACATAAATTATTAAATTGTTATAAAAACGACTAAAGAATTAGTTGACAATGAGTTGATACTTAATTGCTTATTGTTTACAGAACAATTTACATGATTCACTGCAAATAAAAAAATGTCTTTTTTAATGATTAATTTTTTAGCGACCAGTTAAAATTTGGTCACTAACATTATCATTTAGTGACCATATATTAAGTTTGTCACAAATTTTGATAATGCTATAAGTTTAGTGAGTAATTTTATAATAGTAGTCACTTACTGGTTACTCACCGTAGAATAAAATTAAAAAATATATATTCTTTTTACTATCATAACAAATATTAGTTACTAAAAATAATGGTCATCTAATAGTATTAGATGCCTAACGACTAAAAATAGTGGCCATTACATAGGAGGCTTAGTGACCAAAATAGTGGTCACTATGTATGATGGTTCGCAAATTTCGAAAGACATTGGTTCTCATGTAAAGAAAATATGAGCAAATTTCAAAATTACTCCTTAAATATTGAAGTTTTAATTATTAATATTTTTAGATTCGTTCAATCTGTTGGTGCATGGATACGGGCGAAGTTATATTTCATGTAAGTATTATTAAAAGAAATTACTACGAAATGACAAAATAATAGTTAATTAATACATCTTAGTTATATCGCACAACAAATAATCATGTTACATTGTTATTTTAGACACACAATCATGTAATGCCCCGATGGCACGAGACTGCTTATGGTCTTCTAAGGTATTTTTTAGAAATTTAATATTACAACATTTCAAGACTAATGAATTTATTATGGAATAAAAAGGGGTTTTGTTTTTAATTTTTAGTTTTGTGTTTAAAATTGATTTTACAGCGTGAATTATTATTACATCATTATTACAGAGCTTTTAGAGGCATCCATTAAAGGTATACATACCAAGGAAGCCATGCATCTTGTTAATGATAATTGACAAGAATTATCATTTGTGGATAGGTTTGAAGAAAAGTAAATATCATGAAACCATTCTTATTGAAAACTAATATGAAGTTTGGTGGGATTTTATTTGATTTGGCTATTATAATTGTATTCAAACTTTTACAATATCTTTAATTTGTTTGTTTGTTTTATTATTATTTTCTAGAATGTTACCATTTTTTGGTCTCTAACAATAAATACTTAATGACCATATATTTGGTCACTATAGTAATTATCAAAGTAATCATAATCAATGACTTTTTTATGGTCACTAATTGTAAATAATAGTGACTACTTTCATTGATTAGTGACTTAATAGAATGAATCATCACAAATATAGTGACTACTATACTTTAGTCACAATATTTAGTTATCACTTACATATTTTGGTCTCTAATCAGTTTAGTGATAAACCTGGGACGAAAAGTGATCACCAAAGTTTGGTCACGGAATCATTTAGTGACTACTACTTCTATTGTTAGTGACTATATCATTTTCGTCACTATTAGCATTTTTCTTTGTAGTGATTACATCAGTTCTGAAGTGTAAATTATGGGGCCCTAAATTATAACCAATAATTACAAATCATAAGAATACACTGAAATGTTGATGTATAATAACTGATTGTTTTTTTAAATAAATGGTTAATGAAAAAAAGTACATCAAGAATTGATTGTTTTTTTTAATAAACGGTTGGTGAAAAAAAGTCGAAAGCCACTTAAATTTCACGTGACCTTTTACTACAAAGATTTCGGCCCTGTCCATGTCGACATTACAATTTACAACTCTATAATTTTAACTTTTTCAAAACATTATTTCAATTCTGAAAGTTAAAGATAACCAAAAAGTCTCTAATCCACACTCATAATATTATGATAAATACAATATATATAAAAAAAAAAAAAAAAAAAAAAAAAAAAAAAAAAACTATTAATAAATAATTATAAAAATAGCCAAATATTTTGTCATGTCGACATATAGTTATTATCATAGGAGATACATAAATAAGGTATTAGTCGCGGATTAGTGGGGAGTTAAGTCTCTTTTTTCGATTACATATAAAGTTATAAACATCATGATTAATGAAACTAATAGTTGGATCAAGACGTTTAACCTACTATTTTTTATTTTTATGTCTAAGGTGTCCAATATACGTATAAACATCATGATTAATGAAATTTGTTTTGTTTCAATTACCATATTAAAGATAAAATATACTCTATTTTTAATTCTAAATGAAGCTAAAAATTCACCAGAAATCCCATTCCAGTATTTTGTATATGTGTTTTGGAATTGATTAAATGATATTAAATAATGGGTTAATTGCATAAGACTATTTTTTTCCATCCGGTAAAATGGTTTTTTCTGAAAAAAAAAAAAGTGAGAGAAATGTTGTGTTTTTCTTATAAATGACATTTTATGTTTATTTGCATAAAGGACAATATTTTGATCACTTTTTCTGAAAAGACTAGATTTTACTTGGTGAAAAAAACTATAAATTGAACAAAAATACAAAAATGAAAAGTTAGATCAGTCTTCTGTACTTAGATCATTAAAAAAAGAATAAGTCTATCTAGAAAATGTCAAAAAATTGTGTCTTTTATTCGATAAACCCTTAAATAATTAGTTGTAGTTATACGAAAAATTAATAAATAAATAAATGACCTAAGATTTTCGTTCTTATATACTTTTGAAGTAAATTAGCTATTTAATCCTTCAATAATAAGACAGGACGTATTCTGCACACAGTTTTTTGGAGCTTTTAGTTTTTAAGAAAAATATATATATTAAAAAAAACTTCATTCGGCCGTAGGGGCTTCTACTTTTAGCTAACACAAAAAACTCTTAATCCAAAATCTACTTCAAGTATCATTTAATAAAAAGCTCTTTTATAATTTTACAAATTAACTTAGTTACCTTTTTTTGTAAATCAATGGCGTGATTTAGATAAGTAATTTTATGTAATTTTACATGTTTTAAAAGCTTCCAGCTAATTTTCAGTTTCCAGCTAGTTTTGCCGAATACGTCCAAAATTATTACGTTTTCATATCGTAAGGATGAGGTGATCAAATTATAACATTGATCCAAACACCCCCTAAGCATAAGCATGTGTGAGTGCATGACTATGTGTGCCAATAATACGAGAAAAGTTCCAAAATATTGGGTGCCCTAACAAAGGGGGTAACATGAGAATGAAGGTGAAGGTAGACCTCACAATATTAAAGACATCCGCATTAACTTGTGGTTTATTAAGCTTTACAACAAAACCTTCCATTAATGTTAAAAGTTAAAAAAACGACGCTTCTCTTGATATTGATCACACAAATAAATCAAAAGCATAAAGAAATTAAATAAAATTTCGTACCCTTACACGTATACGGCAGTTGTCATATGAGGGTACCGACTTTGATGTGTTGGATTTATAATCTTTTTCTTTTATAATAAATGTACAATTTTCAAGAATAAGTACGTGTATTTATTTCTTGTTAGGTGATTTTCAAAATCCTATAATAACTTAAATAGATAAAGGGTATATACGTCTTTTCAAATTATGAAAATCGTATAAAAAGGTGCTAGTAAGTAGTACCTACTACCTTCCTTGCGAATAAGTTCATCACACTTCTTTCCTTTGGTTCCTTGGTTTAAGCAAAAGGTTTGTATTTTTTTTATTGAGTTATCTTTTTTCATGTTTATATATATTCCATTTTGTGAAGTAACATTTTTGTGGGTACATGTAGAAAACAATATGGAGAAACCGAATTCGAGTTCAGGAGGGTTATGGAGAACGCAGTCAGATCAGTTATCCAAGATACTGGGAGATGCAATGAAATCGCCTGTCTCAAACGAGGAAACTAAAGAGGTCGATAGTTATACGCTTTCAAGAAAATCCAGCAAAAATCAAGTGCTCGCATCACCCGGGCGAAGTGGCACTAGTGGAAGAAACGCGCACATTAAAAGGGGGAAGAGTACTCAAATGAAATTTGATTTCGATGAGGTTAGTACCGGAGCCGCACTAAGTAGAGCCTCGAGTGCTAGCTTAGGGTTCTCGTTTTCACTAGCAGCGTTCACAATGCCTCCAGATGAAATAGCAGATTCAAGACCTTTCAGCGACGATGACATTCGTAAGTTTGTTTTAAATTATCTTTTAATCTTTATAAGAAACACAAATTAAAAATATGATAGATTACGATCAAAGAGCTATGGAGATAGAATTTAGAATTTAGAATTTAAAAATAGTTGTTTAACTTTAAGTAAGCCATGAAAGTGAAAGAGAAGTGATGTCACAAAGTGCCATGATAAAACTTTATGCAACAAAAAGCCAAAAGAGGCTATAAAAGCGGATAACGTGAAGCATGTGAAAAGTAAATTAAATAAAACGACGCAGTTGGACTGGTTAGACTGAGAAGTGACAGACAGCAATGAAAGTGGGCCTCCACTCTATGGAAAATGGGCCTTGAGTGGACCACATGATACTGGTCCACTTCCTCTCTAGTCAAATCCTCTAAAAGTCAATAACTCAAGACAGGTCTTCTTCTTATCTTTTCTTTATATTTTCTTTTTATTGGTCCCATTACATGAATTTTAGGCACAAATAGACACTTTGTAATAATAATGATTATTAAAAAGTCTATCTATCATATCATATAATATCGTATGTATAACAGATTTCATACAGTGTTTCGATAACATATGAATAAATTACCACAAAAGATAATTTAAAATGAAATGTTGACTTGCTTGACTCTAAATGAAGCAAATGGGGTCACAAGTCACAAGTCACAAATAATTCAACTAAGACCGGCACTCTAAGTCAAGAAAATAAGCAACATAAGTAACAAAATATCATGAATATATATATATATATATATATATATATATATATATATATATATATATATATATATATATATATATATATATATGTGAATATGTGATATATGAAGTTTGTATTTTGTTATGCTAAACATGTTTGTTACAGCTGAAGACATTGAAGCGGGAACGCGTAAAAGGTTTCAAACAGAGCCTACCATGCAAATATATCTAAAGGTATACACAACTATTTACAATGCAAGCTTCAAAATTTTCACATTTTCATTGTCATTTTATAATTTTTTATATAGAAACAAGTTGCGGGTCTCGATTGTTTTACATGTCCAAAAAATGCAAATAGATTAATTTTCCCGTATGGCTATTTGGACAGGAAAACATGGAGGTTTTTGTAAGAGAACAATGCAAGATATGATATGTCAGGTTAGTCTTGTACAGAAAATCTCATATTCTATGGTATTTATGTACAAGACTAATTGTTTTTTTAAACCAAAACCGAAAAAACCAACCTCATCTTTAAAAGACAAATATAGACCCCACTCTAAATAGGCATAAGTCATCTCATCTCTCATGTTGTATTCACTTAGATGTTGCTAATTATAATACTAACTGAATTTAATTTAATTTTTCATAAAATGCAGTTTACGGAAGTGACATACAAGATAATAACCAAAGGAGTGACATCAACCCAAGAGAAATATATTTTAAATGGAATAAATGGTTCGGTTAATCCAGGTGAAGTTTTGGCCCTCATGGGGCCATCGGGAAGTGGCAAAACTACCCTCCTAAGTTTGCTTGGAGGGCGGTTGACAGAGCATACGTTAGGTGGATCAGTTACTTATAATGACAAGCCGTATTCAAAGCTCCTAAAAAGCAGGTACACTTTTTTTCCAAAAAGTTGGGATGAATTTATTGGTTTTTTGGAAAAGCCAGTATTCCTGACATTAAAAGTCTTTTTTTGTCTAAAAAGTTAGTCTTTACCAAACATTTTTTTAGCTTATTGGCTTTTTGAAAATTTTATGAAATGTGATCTTGGCAGGATTGGGTTTGTGACGCAAGATGACGTGTTGTTCCCTCATTTAACTGTGAAGGAAACTATAACATATGCGGCTCTTTTACGGCTATCTAAGACACTAACGAAACAAGAGAAGGAAAAACGAGCAGAAGATGTGATATATGAACTTGGTTTGGAGAGGTAATTAACTCGCATTTTCAAGATATTATCGAAAGTGTTGGGAAAATGGTCTCAAAGATTGCCAATGAATAATAATAAAGAAAACTGAACAGAAGAATATACGTGGAAAACTCCAAAACCATAGAAAAACCACATGCCTTCATACAGAGAATTTCACTATATGACAAATTATTACAATCATTTAGACTAATCTCTTAGGTCACCTATTAATTACACTCGCACTCTCCTAAAATGGAAATATTATTATGAAAGTGATATATGGTTCCTCTAATAATATATCTTAAAACAGGTGTCAAGATACTATGATAGGAAACTCCTTTATTCGGGGAGTTTCAGGTGGCGAAAGAAAGCGTGTTTCCATTGGAAATGAAATCATAATCAACCCTTCCCTTTTGTTTCTTGATGAACCCACTTCTGGTTTGGATTCAACAACTTCTTTGAGAGTAATTGAACTACTACAAGACATAGCTGAGGTATGATTATTTAATTCAAGTTCCTACTTGTTTATATATTTAAAGAAGAACTAATTACAAAACATACCACATCATATCGCGAAAAATAATGTGATTTTCATCAACTTTATATAAAAAGTATTGATTGATTTGTTTATATGTTAATAACAGAATGATAAGACAGTGGTTACAACTATACACCAACCATCGAGTCGACTTTTCCATAAATTTGACAAATTAATCCTACTTGGAAAAGGGAGCTTGTTGTATTTTGGGAAAGCTTCAGAAGCTATGGTGTATTTTTCATCAATCGGATGTTCTCCTTTAATCGCTATGAATCCAGCAGAATTCTTGTTAGATCTTGCAAATGGGAACATGAATGATGTTTCTGTTCCACCTGAATTAGAGGATAGAGTACATTTGGGAAATTCGGGAAGAGAAACAACAAATGGGAAACCCTCTCCAGCAATCGTGCATGAGGTAAATTTATTAATAATTATGATTTAAAACATTTTAGAAAAACTTAATTAGATTGTTTTAAGAATCATTATGTTTTGTAGTATCTAGTGGAGGCATGCATGAGTCATGTTGGGGAAGAAACAAAAAAGAGACTTAGGACTCAAACATCACTCGATCAAGAAAAGACGTTTCAAAAACGAGAATGGGGGGCAAGTTGGAGAGAACAATACTCGATATTGTTCATGAGAGGGATTAAAGAAAGGCGTCATGATTATTTTAGTTGGTTGAGAATCACACAAATTGTAGCAACCGCAATCATTTTAGGGCTTCTTTGGTGGCAATCCGATGTTCATACCCCCAAAGATTTGCAAAATCAGGTATGAAAAGTTTCCATCTTTACCAAGAGACATAAATACCATTACTACTTCATAAGGATTGTTGTTTTCTAATTGTACCCAAGGGTAAAATGGTCATTTTCAATCAGGTATAAAAAGTTCCCATTTTTTGAAAAAAAAAAAATAGCACCACACATAAATGTCATTATTACTCCATAAGGAATGTTGTTTTTCTAATTGTACCCAAGGGTAAAATGGTCATTTTCAATCAAGTATAAAAAGTTTCCATTTTTTGAAAAAACAATGCCACTACCCACAAATACCCTTACTAGTTACTACATCATAAGGGCTAAGGCATGCTGTTTTGTAATTGTACCCAAGGGGTAAAATGGTCATTTGCAATATATGAAAACTTTCCACTACTACACAAGAAATGTTTTTTTCTTTTTGGAAAAGAGAGGACAAGAGAGAGTCCCCTGAAAATTTATTAATAAAGAAATGTTGTTTTGTTATTCCATAATCCACCTAAGGGTAAAACGGTCATTTTTTTTTTGCAGGCAGGACTGCTCTTCTTCATTGCGGTATTTTGGGCGTTTTTCCCGGTTTTTACAGCTATATTCACATTCCCTCAAGAAAGAGCAATGTTGAAAAAGGAAAGAGCAGCTGACATGTATAAGCTTAGTGCATATTTCCTAGCAAGAACAACAAGTGACCTTCCACTTGATCTTCTTCTCCCAATCATTTTCCTCCTAATTGTTTATTTCATGGGAGGACTCAGACTCACTGCTCAATCATTTTTCCTAACCATGCTTATAGTCTTTCTATGCATTGTTTCAGCTCAGGTATATAAATTTTACATATTTATAAACTTGATTTACATAATATAATATAACATATATATATATATATATATATATATATATATATATAACTAAAATGGCAGGGTCTTGGATTGGCTATTGGTGCTGCAGTTATGGACTTAAACAAGGCAACAACTTTAGCTTCTGTAACTGTAATGGCTTTCATGTTAGCTGGAGGGTTTTTTGTAAAGGTAGACATTAAAATAAATCACTAACAGATTATAAACTAAACTCTTATATAACTTAATATGATTGTATATAATGCTAAAAGAATGTTTTTTTTCTTTTTATTGTAGAACGTTCCAGTGTTCATTTCGTGGTTAAGTTACTTGTCATTCAACTATCACACATACAGACTTCTTCTAAAAGTGCAGTATGAACATATCAGCTCTGTAATTGAGGGGATTGAATTAGACAGTGGATTGAAGGAAGTTGGAGCCCTAGCAGCCATGGCTGTTGGGTATCGTATCTTGGCTTACTTGTCTTTGAGACATTTGTAGCTTGAATGATTCATGAGTGTTTGGGTAATCAAGAACTTCATGAGTGTTTGGATAATCAAGAACTATTGAAGTGAATTTTTGTTTTGTTTTTTGATTCATACTGATGCAAGAGGTGAGAATGGAGCATAGGGAAAAAGAAGCTATATACAGTGACTTGAAGAAGAATTTGTTCAAATATCATCTACACAGATGTGAAATCACTATTTGAGAGGTTTACTTGCTAGTGTGTATCGATATTATTGATGTTCATAGCTGAAATTAAGTTATCTGTGGCTGTAAAACAACTAAAGATCATAAATTTCAGCAAAGTATGTGCATTTTTCAGGAATTTGTGTTTTCATGAGCCTAAATTTACCGAAATCGATTCATCCAAACAACTGATAGTCACCTGGTGTATACACTTTCATAATTTATGTACATTATAAACTAAATTCTTCTGTAATTTTGAAACTAGAAATCGCTTATTTGAAATTAAAGCCAGATGTAGGTTTTTTGAGAAGCGATACTCTACATCTACATCTGATTGTTTCGTCTAAATTGAGGGAGCATATGATAGGCGACGGGATTAATGGTGGAAATTGAAAGGAAAAAACGGGTTGAGGCATAGAACCTGATGTATTCTCCGGTGATTATAACCGTCGGCGGTAAAACGGGATGACCACCGGCGTAGAGTTGCATCTTCATTGAGAATGCTGACGGCCGATTAGACGCTGTGAATTGTCCGTTAGGATCACTCACTCTTTAAAAAGTTGTTTAATTTGACCCAGATATTTTAGAACTTTACACGTTCAACCCTTTAAAGTTTTGAAACTCCTTTTTTAAACCCTCCTACTAATTGTAAAATGATTTAAAAGACTAAATAAGTCTATTTCCCAATCAGTTATTAAATTTGTCTAATTGAAATTGAAACACTTTTTTCCATAAAACTCATTTTGTGAATTAAGTGCATTTTATATCTCATGTTTATATAAATAATCCAACATTTTACAACAAATGACAAATAGCAAAACAAATGAAATTTTGCAATTCATATGAAATTATAAATTGTATTTTGTTAATAAGAGGTCAAATGACTAAAAAACATTGATAACAAACTAGAAAGGTTACCCTCGCTACGCGAGGGCCAGAAGCTTTCAATGTTGTTTCCGAATTGATAAATATGACAGACATAGAAAGTGCAAGGATGAAAAGTTCGGACTTTGCCCCGAACAAAAAATGTAAAAGTTTTGACTGCAAGGACCAGAAGTGTGAAAATGGCTAAAGAATTAAAGGGGTAGGAATTAGCAACTTTTTAGAAAATGGATCAAAGTTGTCAAACCGTTAAAGTTTTGTGGCCAAACTTTAAATATTAAAAGGTTCCAAAAAAGTGTAAAAATATTGATTGCAAGGACCAAAAGTGTCAAAATGGGTAAAGAATAATGACCAAAGTTGCCAAAAAATATCCAAATTTAGTATTCCTAACTTCCAACAATAATACAGGGACCAATTCTGCCAAAAAAATGGGAAGTTGAATGGAACACAAACAAAAGGACATGAATAAATTAATTAAAGAAGTACAGGGACCGGATATGTAAATCAAGGGACCAAACTTGGACAAAGTATCCCAAGTTTACTATTTCTTTCTTCCACAACTTTAATATATATAATAATGATAATAGAAACCATTTAATATATATAATTAATAATCAGGGCCGGCCCATGGCATGTGCACCAAGTGCCCATGAACAGGGCCCAAAAAAGTATAGGGCCTAATTTTTTTATAGAATTTTTAGTATAGTATACTCATTTAATGGCCCAAAAAAAACTAGGTTATTCTTTTCATTTGTTCGACTGCACGCAAGCAAGAATGAACGGCTGAGCGGGAAGAAATTTCGGGAAAAAAAAAACGTTTGGGTTCTTCACTGATTACGCTGCAAGCATGTAGCATTCATTACGGAGTAACGGTATTATTTATCTTTTGATTGCTTCTTTTATGTTTTATCCATCGATTCCAATCACCACAAGCAATCAACATAATCTTATTTCTTCTTTATTTCTTCTCAAAACTTTGAAGCAAGCTGCAAGTCAAGGCTTCAAGCCCTTCATTCCTTCAAGCAACGATTCATTCAAAATCAAATATTCAGAAGTTTCGAAATCAGAAGACAGAAGGTTTCGATTTTTGAAATTAGAAACAAGCAACGATACATACAACAATCTGAGGTTTAGACATTCAAAATTAGAAGGTAAAATTAAGGCAGTTCTTATTTTTTCATGGATTTCTTAGTTGTTAATTGTTAATAATAAGTTCTTAGTTTTATATTTCTAAATTCTAATCAGATTTTTTTTCTTCTCATATTCTGCTTCCAATCACTAATCAGTTTGACAATTTCTAAATTTCTAAATTCGTTTCTGATTTTGAAGGTGTTTTCTGATTCTAAATTCGTAAGACAGAAGTCAGAAGAAACAAGGAAGTGAGGAAATTAGTTTCTAAATTTTGAGGGTACAAGCAATTTCTGATTTATGTTTTGATTTCAAGTTTCTGAATTCCTTTCTGTTTTTGGTTTCTGATATTGAAATATATCATGCTGATTTGGAATTTGGATTATGTTTTTTTTACAGTTTTGATACCCTTTCTGGCTTTCTTGTTGATTTGAAGAATTGAAGTGTTGAAATTCTAGAACCAAGAAGAAATCTACAAATCACAAAAAATGTTGTTTCTTTCTTTTCTACAATTTGCAATGCCTCCTAGATTAAAAAAATATGCATCTGGATATGAAAAACGTAAGAAAAAACAAAAAGTTGAAGAAGATAATAAAACTCAAGCAGGATCTATGCATAAGTTTATAACAAAAAAACACAAAACTTTTCGGAAAATGAAACACAAACTGTTAATGAAGCTATTCTTGATGATAATGATAATGTTGATGCTAATGTTAATAATAACTAGAAAAGGACGCGCGGCTCCGCCGCTTTTGGACTATGTCATAGAAGTTAAATATCGGCAAACTTTAAAATATGTATTGAAAGTGTAAATCGCCACAAATAAGGGAGAAAACCGACACCCCCTAAAATTAGATTTCAAAAGTGTACAACAAAAAGAAAGAACATTGATGGAGAAAAACCAAAAATGTTGTGGCTATAATGTAAAAGTTGTCAAAGTTGGAAAAATATGGTGACAAAAGTCTAAAGGAGGTTTTTTTGTGTTTTTTATGTCAAAATGTAAAAGTTTTGACTACAAGGTTGAAAAGTGTCAAAGTCACTAAAAATTTATGGCAAAAACATCAAAATATAAAAGATTTGACTGCAAGGACGAAAAGTGTCAAAGTCACTAAAGATTTGTGGCAAAAATCTAAAGGCACAAAAACTTAATCAAAACTTAAAAATGTAAAAGTTTTCACTTCGAGGACTAAAACTGTCAAATTCATCAAACATTTGTGGCAAAAACCTAAAGCAAAAAAGATTACTATTCATAAGGTCCCTTGGATTTAATATATATATATATATATATATATATATATATATATATATATATATATATATATATATAATGTTAATGATAATATTGATATTAATGATAATGCTAATGTTGATGTTGATGATAATGTTGATGTTAATGATAATGCTAATGTTGATGTTGATAATAATGTTGATTTTCACACTTTTGATATATTTGATCCAAGAAATTGGGATGTTCTTGATTCTAACATGATAAATATTTTAGCATTGAAAGGTCCTAAAAGAGATTTATCCATTATAAAAGGTCCTAAAGATAAATATTTAAGAAGATTTTCTGCAACATATTATACTAAAACTTTACCAAATGGGGAAAATGTGATAGAGATTGGCTTGTTTATTCTAAAGAAATTGATAAAAAGTTGTGTTTTTGTTGTAAAATATTTCGAAAAGGGTGTGGAAAAGGTCAATTAGCAAATGAGGGTTTTTGTGATTGGATACATCTTAACACTAGAATTAAAGAGCATGAAACAAGTATGAAACATGTTAAAAATATAAATACTTGGTATGATTTATGTTTAAGATTACAAAAAAATAAAACTATTGATAATGCCGCTAAAAACAATTAGAAAAAGAAAAAGTTCATTGGAGACAAGTTTTGTTGAGAATTATATCTATTGTGAAATTTCTTGCTAAACATAATCTAACTTTTCGTGGTACTAATGAGAAGTTGTATGAAGATAACAATGGAAATTTTTTAGGCTTATTTGAAATGTTGGTTGAATTTGACATGGTTTCTTATGATATATACAACGTATTACAAATGAAATTGGTATCCATAAACATTATCTTGGGCATAGGATATAAAATGAATTAATTCTTTTGCTTTCTTCAGAAATAAAATCTATGATTATCAAAAAGATAAAAAATGCAAAATATTTTTCTATAATACTTGATTGTACTCCCGATATAAGTCACCAAGAGCAAATGACTATTATTTTAAGATATGTAGATGTCTCATCAAATGTTGTTTGCATTGAAGAATCCTTTTTAGGGTTTTTAGATGTAAATGATACAACCGGACAAGGACTTTTTAATGTTTTACAAATGAATTGAATTTGCTTGATCTTGACATTAATAATGTACGTGGACAAGGTTATGATAATGGATCAAATATGAAAGGAAAACATCAAGGAGTGCAAAAAAAAATTTAGATATAAATTCTAGAGCTTTTTATACTCCTTGTGGTTGTCATAGTTTGAACTTAACTTTATGTGATATGGCTAATACTTGTAGTAAAGCTAAAAGTTTTTTTGGAACAATACAACGTATCTATACAATTTTTGCAAATTCCACTAAGAGATGGCAAATTTTAAAAGATAATGTGAAAGAGTTAACTGCTAAATCTTTGTCATCCACTCGTTGGGAGAGTCGTGTTGATAGTGTTAAAGCTATAAGATTTCAAATTTTTGATATACAAAAAGCTTTACTTCAAGTAGCCAAAAATGATAATGATCCAAAAATAACAAGTGAAGCTAAATCCTTAGCAAAAAATGAACTTGGTAACTTTGAGTTTATATTGGCATTAGTAATTTGGTATGAAATGTTAAATATTGTTAATTTAGTTAGCAAAAAATTACAATCAAAAGATATGCTTATTGATGTTGCTATGAAAAAAATAAAGGGGTTGATTTTGTTTTTTAAGGAATATAGAGAAAATGGGTTTTTAAATGCTTTAGAAACTGCAAAAGATATTGCCTTGAAAATGGGCATTGATCCAATATTTCCTAAAAAACGTGAACCTAAAATAAAAAAACATTTTGATGAAATTTCAAATGATACTTCTTGTATTGCTTCACAATCCGTGCAAGAGAAATTTAGAGTTAAATATTTTATTTATATTGTTGATCAAGCAATTATTTCTTTAACTACAAGGTTTGAACAATATCAACAATATAATAAAATATTTGGTTTTTTGTTTAATTCAGAAAAATTGCTTTCATTAGATGATATTACATTAAAGTCTTGTTGTAAGTCTCTTGAAACTTCACTCAAGAAAGATGAACAATCGGATATTGATGGAAATGACTTATATGTTGAATTAAAATTACTTTTACATCTCTTGCTTAAGGAAAAAATGACAGCAATTGATATTCTAAATTTTTTAAAACGTGTTGATTGTTTTCCTATTACATCTATTGCATATAGAATTATGTTGACTATTCCTGTTACTGCTGCATCTGCAGAACGGAGTTTTTCAAAATTGAAGATTTTGAAGTCCTACTTACGATCTACAATGACTCAAGAACGACTTAATGGATTGGCTTTGATGACGATTGAGCGTAACATGTTGGATAATGTTACTTATGAAGATATTATTGAAAAATTTATTTCAACAAATATTAGAAGGATAGCTATTTTCAAGTAGAAGCCAATGTCTTTTTTGTGTATTATTTTGAATGAAAATTTAATTTTATTTATTTGCAGTAGAAAATTAAAATTTATAGTTTTTTTTGCTTATATTTTAAGATCTTTCAAAATTTAGGGCCTATTTTTGTTAAATCGCACAGGGTCTCCAAAATTTCAGGGCCGGCCCTGTTAATAGTTTACAATCTTGTAAATTCACTTAATTGTTTTGTTAAAAAAAACATTTATCTTATATTATAGGTAGAAGATAGATTTTGTGTAGATTTAATTTTTTTTTTTTTTGTAAACTATTTATTTAAATTTTGTGTAGATTTAAATTTGATTGTATTTATGTTCATATATATGTATATTTATAGTGTTATAATCCTCTAGTATAAAACATGAAAAATACATTTTTATTCTGGTAATTAACATTGGTACCAAAGCCTCTTAGAACCCTAATATGTTGCCTTGAGGCCGCCTTTCTCTCCCGACTGCCACATGTCGCCGACCACTCACCCTTCCAACATCTTCTTCTCCACTTAAGTCTTAACCATGGTTAACTCACCACCATTTCTCACAAAACATGGTCGGCAATATCCAGATACGTTCATGTTTTCTCAACAAAAGGTCGAAGGTTACCTCCTCCTCCTCATGGGTAGCTTTATGTTGATGATAAGAAGACCCTTCTAAGTAATGTTTAGATTATTGTCTATTTACCATTTTGAAAAAGTTCATGGGTTTGCTAACAGCTAACTTGATCTTTATGTATATATTGATATGTATATTTATGTCCACTTTGTTGACTTTTGAGTAGGCAGTGCTCTTCTTTTGTGTAGAGAAATGGTAGTACTAATAGAGTTAGGAACCATACAGGTGATATCTTACTACATGTTGTTTCTTGCTTCCCTTCATAGGCTAACGTCCACTTTTGATTTCGAAATTGTAACTATTTATATTTGATCGAAATTGTAACTATTTATATTTGAATCGACGGTGTTTGGTTATGTTCTTTTTATTTGGACCAAACGTGCACAACATGGAACGGTGTTCATAAGAAAATGAATACATGACTAATTTGTGTGGATTGCACATCAATTATTTGGATTTTAGTATGTTATGGATTTGAAAATATTTATGTTTTGATTTGAATTTATGTTTAATTTGGATTTTGTATGATGTTTTATATTTTCATATAATTATTCTAGAAATTGTTCAATTATTTTATAAAACAAAATAATATGGAATGGTAAAATAGTCACTTTTATCATTCATTACAACAATTCAAATGTCTAGTCTAACACCATGTTTATATTCAAGAGGCATATGAACTTAGAGCCTCTTAGTAATTCAGATCCTGTCAAAGAACCTCTAAAACCAAATCCAAATGATGAACATCATATATCAAATTGTAATTTGATTGAATTGGTTCCAAATTTTCAATGTTCAAATTGGGTTGGTCGATTTTTGGATCCACGTCCAGTATCCAATAAAAAAAGAACGGATTCGATAGTAGTTTTAATATTTAATTACTGATATCTAGAATATTGGATTATAGTTCATGGTAAATGGATGCTACCTGGATATTAATATTGAACAAGTCTTTTGGATAATGGATCTGTCTGATAAAATTAGATGGTAGCGGGTAATTGGTATCTGCTAACGTTTTGTTAAAAGCTACGTAAGATAGCGCATTTATATTTGGGGTTTTTTGTTTAAACTAAACGTTAAAAGTTTGTAATGTCAAACAAAGTTTTGTTTAAAACGAAAAGTTTTGTCAAATGCTAGAAACTAGAAGCTTTCAAATAGTAAACACGCCCTATATAGTTAAACTTTTATAGAGAAAAATCTAGAAAATACAAATAAAAAATTTACATCGGAAATATCTAATATTCATTATTGATTTAATTGGATCGATTCTATTTGAAAAGTGAAAACATTAGACATTAGAAAGACAAAGACGTTAACGGATAAACTTAAAACAAACAATTTTAAATCATTAATCATTTTAAATTCAAACAGTTTTAGCCGATTCAAAGAAACTCGTGGAGTTATGGTTGATCACGGTTGCTGAATGAGGTTGTGTTCGAAATGGTCGTTTTTACAAATAACTTCCTTGGTTGACCAAGACAAACCACTCACACGCATGCAAACTTACTTCTATTTCACATACATACGTAACTTTGAAAGATTTTCTTTACAAAACGTAGCTTTCATCCCTACGCCGATTTTTGTTGATTGTAAATTAACAAGTATATACGTAATATTTCATGCAAGTAACCAACACAATAATCCAAAATCCAAACAAACGAAAAGATCATTGCATCGCATAATGACATAAACCTCTAGTTTCTGCCAACATGTCTCCATTTAGGTCTCGAAATCCATGAAAATAACCCGTGTTGGGGTTGCCATAGCCCATATGCATGATATATGTATATATGTATATGGAAGACTTGAATCTAAAAATTATTATTCGATTATATTTAATGCTCAAATATAATTTAAAAAAAAATACTTCAAATAATTAATAAACAGGTGGAGTTAATAATCCCCTATTTTTACTGCAAGGTTGACCTTGTTGATCAAGTCTCATAATATTTTCGAGAAGAAAAACAACATATGGGTGAACTAACTAAATAACCTAGCCGGCAATTTATCCCGGCGAAATATTATAATATTCTAGATAAAATAAAGACTTATTCAAAGTTGACTAGGCTCCCAACTATACGTAAGTATCAAACATAAATATATGTGAATATTCAGAGAGAATTAAACATCGACAGACATCCAACATGACCACTGCCATCACCACCACCAGCACCACCATGATCACCGCTACACAACTGCATCATTTGCAAGGGCCTAAACCTGCACCGTTGATGATAAACAAGAACTCCTCCAAGATCATCAAGAAGAATAACACTAGTCATCAACATGACAAGCATTTACTTCGAGGTAGGGGCTATAAATCTCCGGTGATAGTTTACCTGAAGTCGCCGAAAATCGTTCATGTGCTCCCTCATGAGTTCATGACCACCGTCCAAAGACTCACCGGAAAATCGGTCACTTCATCTTCAAATCAAACTCTTTAATTCTTTTGTTTCTCTTTCTGTACCATATAATACTTGAATAATTCAATACTCACTTAAATTTTCGTAAATTCTTCAAACACTACAAGAATCAGTTTCCTTCAGATTACGGATATGTAAGTATATATATGGAGTTCCTTACGAGCTAACCGGTTATGTTTCAAGATGCATTGTTGACAATTGACATGGGCGTGTGTTTTCTCTTTGTTTCCTGAACAAATGAATGTGTGTCTAAACTATTAATATGATTTGAAGTCATATTAAATTAGTTTTGAGTGTTTAATTAAGATTTTGATAAATGTAAATTATACAGATTTACTCGCTACAAATCGATTTATTATGTGGCTCGTAATATTCAAGTTACATGACATTCATTTATAATACGTATGAACTTTTTTTAGTAATTAATTGCACTATAGAATGTAGACATCTAATTTTCTCAAATGCTATTTTTCTACCTGCACAACTTATGCAACTTAATAATAATTTTAAAATTACTTGGTATGTATATTTGGTTGTATATAATTAAGCTTGGTGAGAAATTTGTAAATGCTACAAAGGATAAAGTGAAACGTGTAGTATGCTGTGATTTTGATATATAATTCTGTCAGGTTCGAAGATTATTAGAAAATCTAAGAAAGACATGAATAATGTAATAAAACATAAATGTTTTTCATTTATAAATAACGAAAATATATACAATAAGATTGTTTGCAGCTTTGCATTACCCATTAACACTTTTTGAAAAACATAAATGAGAAAATAAAAGGTAAAATTTATACTTGAAGTCAAATTAGGTGACAATTACTATTTAACTTTTGATTTTGATCTCTATGTTAACTTTTAAAAATAGACTGATCAAGTCACCCAATGTTTTATATTCATAATTTTAAATCTCAACAAACTAAATGCATAATACTCAATGAGAGTAAAAAGATATATAAGTCCGTGGTAATAAGTTGTAAGTTGATTGGTGATTCGATGCATATACTGAACTCGTAAGATTTTATTTTCAAAAAGGGTTTGATATGCTCTAATATAAATTTAAAAAAAAAAAGGTTATTAAATAGGGAGCAAACTTGGTCAACATGGTTCATATTGGAATTCTTTAACATAAGATAGGTAACCCAAAATATATATGTCAAATTACCTGGTTTATTAATAGCAACTATGCTTTCATGTCTCACTTTATTTCTAAACTTAAATGAAAAAAAAAATAATGGAGTTGTTGAATATTGAATTTTATGCACCTTTTGCCATGCAAGTTGCAATATCTCTCTCTTGGAAATTTTCTAAAATTGATTATCAATAATTCCATTTTAAATGAGTGCCTTGATATTGATATTGCCTTGATATTGATATTGATAATGATATCAACATCTTGTATATATTTAAGTTGTATTATTTGTATTGACAATGTAATATCAAAAATTTCGAATATTGATTTGAAGTCTTTTAAATCAAAGATGTCTTCTAGAAAGTCTATTATTGGGTTTTGTATTTAACGAGGCTTTAGGAGGCCAGTGTGTTGCCGAGAAAATTAAAACACTAGTTTTTGTGATATAATTATATGTTTGTTTGAAGTTTAAGTTTTATATTTCTCATAGTTTTCTAGCATAAGTAGGCCTGTGTGTTGCGGCAAAAAATTAAACGGTAATTTTTATGACATAATTATATGTTCCTTTGTAGTTTTCTAGGATTGTATTTTCAAAATATAATTATTTAATAACAACGTATCTAATTTTAGAATAGTAGACATTAAAGTTAAACAAAAAATTAAATGAAAGTAACATGCTACATTATACAACAAAATGAAACCTTTTTTTTAGCCGAATCAGGGGCAACTGCAACAAATATCAATATATTTTTATTTTGTTGTCTAATATAGCATACTAGTTTCATTTTGTATTCTTATTTTTTTATTAATTATTTTTTCTTATTAAACCATTATATTTAGAAAATACAATGTTATTGTGGGTAAAACCACTACTAGAAAACAGTCATTTAATGACACGCAAACAACGACACGCACTAATTTACGATACGTATTTTTTGTGCTTCCTAAAAATAATGTCAGTTTTCTAAAATTTGAAGGATAGAGGACACGCATTTTTGCATGCCCTAAATTTTGTGTCCAACAAAAAAAAACACGGAAGGCACCTATCATAAAAAGTGTGTCGTGTAAAGATGTTGTTTTATATATTTTTTTAGGAAAGCGTGTTCTCCGTTTTTTTTTAACAGTCGATGGAACCCTAATAGTACTGTGAGGCTGTCAAAGAACCCTAATAGTATTGTGAGGCTGTCAATCCTTTTGAAGCAGCCCGTCTTCCTATACGTCGATCTGTACTCTCTCTCCCTTCTCTTTGGAAGCCCTAATCCACCACCATCAGCTCTAAGAGTTCGGAGTGCATCTGATGACATCGACATCAACACTGTTGCATCTAATGAAACAACACATGGAACCGTTTCACAAATTCAAGATGACAACTCAGACCCACCACCGCTTCTCTCTCCTCGTCCATTTCATTCTCACACACGTATCTTTTCTTGACCTTTCTTTTTAGTTTTTTTACATTTAAACCATTGGTTCATCTGGAATCAACTACCATCGTCGATCTGATATGGTTTCTTTCAATTTTTTTGCAGAAGGTTTTGGAGATGGTGGTGTGTGGCGGTGGTTTCTCTGTCCGATAATACCATATAAGAACCCTAATTCTATTTCTTAATGAGCTATATATATATCACATGTTGGTGTGCTTCTAGTTATGATTGCTTCATAGAAACACTCTTTAACATAATTTTTGTTCTTCATTTAATTTCTTATGTTCATATTGTGTTTGCTTTTCTTATTATTAGGTACAGGAATTTGGAAAAAGGAGGCTGAAGACTTGAGGGAAAGATGCTTTCTCAACACTGTATACATCCAAAGAATGCGTTCATCCATAGATCGTCAACAAGTCATTCAGCTATATGAACAGATTTTTAGGGTATAACCAGTCATAAATTCAACAGTATCTTCTTGTGACCTAAAAATCTTGACAGGTGTCCGACAAAGCTTGGAAACCATGGCACAATGTTTACACCATCAATGGTTGGTCTTTCTGTCACACCCCTGAACCAGACGGCGGAAACGTCTGGGGGTTCGTGTGACTAATAATTGAATAATCATCACAATGAATATACATGAATCATAACACGATCATCACCAACATTACATAACACAACTGGCATTGTTCACATCTAGTACATTGTTAAAATACATAAGTTCAAATTGTTAAAAGTACGATAAGTGCTATTACATAAAACAAAACCATACACACTTGCATATCTTCCAGTTTAACGATTACCTGAGAATACAAGTTATTTTGAAAACGATCAACATATATAATATTGGTGAGTTCATAAGTAAGTTTGAGTAAAAGTCTTTGTATCTTTCATAAAAACCCAGAAAATCCGATATTTTCTGTAAAAAGTCTGAAAATGTTGTGAAAATCAAATATAAATGCATGTGTGAATTTCATAGTTTTAGCTTGTAAAAGAGTGGTTTAGTTTCATGGTATTGTGAATAAATGATAAATGTATATAAATGATTCCCCAGAAAATCCGATATTTTCTGTTTAAAAACAATGTCTAGATTCTTGTATCGTTAAATAAGTTGTTTTGTATTGACACAATCAAAGAATTTATCTTCAAAAGTTTACTTTTGGTATTGAATCCCTATATGAGCCGTTATAACCATGCATGATAATGACTAGGTTGCCCGTCTTGGTATTTTTCCAAATGTCGGTCTTGATAAGGATGTTGTCGCCCTAGACTGGCCTAGTCTAGCTATAGCGAACAGCTAAGGCGTGGGGGTCACCCCGTATAGATCTATACACAAACTCCCGCTTTCCTACCAGGAAACTCTGATTATAACTACAGGTTATGGTTGTACACTCAGTGGTGCCAACCGACAAGTCTCACTAGATTCTCAACCTCTTTTGCACTATGTTTAATGTTTACGTATTTGTGAGATGTTTTTGTATTCGAAAGGTACATAAATAAGTTTACGAAGTTTAATGATTACATAAGGGCATCGTTATGGCTTACTAACACATGAAATTTCCATTCCAAGCCCTATTAGTATGAAATTTGGCCACAAAGGCCCAATCACATGTAAAAGGGTAATTTAGGCCCATTAGGCATGTAAATGGGCCACAAAAGCCCAATAAACATGTAATCAATAACTTAGGCCCAAATTAACATGTAAGTGGGCCACAAAGCCCAATAAACATGTCATGGAAAACATTGGACTCAATACACACTTAATTGGGCCCTTAGGGCCCAATGGCCAAGAAATGTGAATATTGGGCCCAATAAATAGTTTTTGACGTATTTTGTTCGTTCGTTTGATTCGGTTGTTTGCTTTAGTTCGAGGCTTAATAGATTGATGATAAAAAAAGCTTTCATATTGTAAAAATGACATTTTTGGACAATAATACTCCAATCTTTAATTAAGGCCCAAAGTTTTGTAAAAAATGACACTTTAGTCCATAATTTATAAAAATTTGTAATTTTGTCCCAAATGTCTAGAAACTTACGGTTTTAACCCAAAATGTTATATTTTTACATTTAGCACCCTGTTTCGCAGAAAAATACATTTTCAGCCCCTTGTTTGTAAAAGTTTACACTTTCGGCCCAATTTTTGGAAAACTTTACATTTTTGGTCCGATTTGAAAATAAATGATATTTTCACCTCTAAATTTGGTTTATTTACATTTATGACTCAAACTTTGGCCAAATAACATTTTTAAACCTTAAAACTTCATTTTTTTCACAAATTGGGCCCAAAGGTCGTGAGGCCCAAAAGTTTTGGCCAAATAAGCTTAAATTTGCATTTTTTTGCTCTTTTAAGAGTATGCTTAGCATAAAAATACATTTTTATACATGTAGGACCTGTTTGGCCCTTTTAAAAACAGAATTTTCACTTTTTACCCTTATCTTTTGTTTTCTTGACAATTTTG